AAATAATTTTCATTAATTGTTTTTGTTTATAAATATTTATTTTCTGTAGGAAATCCATTCTGCCCCTCGAGCGATTCGCATTCCGCGCTGCTCCCGCCGCTAGTACGCTGCGCGGCCGGAGAGGGCAGTGCGGACCAGGTGCAAGCCATCGATGGAGTCCAGTGTACGTCGCAAGAGAGAGGGTAGAAACTGGAATTGTAACGCACGCTCTAACCACATGCACGCGTGCGTGTTAAGCTGCGTTACTCTTCGTTGTTCGAAAAAGCGCGGGCATTCCACGTTAGCAATCCTGCTCAAATTTTTAGCAGTCGTGCCTCTTTCATTTACCATAGATCGGCACAATACTTCGATATTGGTGACTAACAGCACTCAATGCATCCACTGACCAATGGCATTCTCGAGTGCCAGTCGCGATAAGTAAGAGAAAGTCGGCTCGCGATTGATCGAAGGTTCCTCTCTCTTTCCTCAACGACGGAAAGTGAGACGGCCCCGCCCACTCCGACCAATGGCAGAGCCCCATTGCTCGACCCTCGCGTCTCGACTAATCAGAGGGCGCACCGAATTCTGGCAACGCGACGCCAATAGGCGGTGTGGCCATCTATAGGCTGCCGTGGGCGCTAACGGGTCTGACCGCGAGTGGGCAGCCTGGCGAAGGCACTTGAGGCGTTTTTCCCCTGTAACAATATTGTTAATCGTTCGGACGCATTTCTGCGTATTAGGAAGACCTCACGAAGGGCTGTGGCGTGCTGTTTAACGCGCTTAAACGGTCTTCGCGTGTAATGGCTGCAGTCTTCGACATCGAGTTGCACGACGCGGATACTAGGGACGAGTCGGACGACGACGTGATCGAGATCGGCGAGGTAATCTTCACCTTGGATACCTACCCCTGTCGATTTCTCGCTCCGCGTCCCCACGCTTGGGGTGCTCGCTAATAAGGTTTCACCTGCTATCACTTTCTTCATGAATCGCACGCGCGTCGAATACATTACTCGACAATACGGTCAGGCATAAGATTTACATGAAATCGGTGAGGTAATCTGCACCTTGGAAACTACCCCCTTTACTCTGTTGCCTTGCATTCTCTGTAGGTAGAATTCTTATCAAAATCTCGCCCATTGTCAGTTGATTAAATAGAAAGACACACAGTAGATTTTACCTAGCGTTGCTCTCTCTTAACAGTTGATCTTTGGAACAGAAAGGCAACAGAAATAGAATAAATCAATTTGATAAGATAATCGACTCATCAGTACCCTTTACAAGGGGCAATACGGAAGTAAGCATTGTTAAGGCAATTCTTACGATTAATTGTATTGTGTTCTGAATGAACATGTTATGACTGACTCTATCGTCAATGTAATTGTTTGTTATTATTTTTATAACAGTTCATTGTTTACAGGGGGAATATGACGCTAATCCAAACGTCAATGAAATTATTGAGTGAGTATCATATTTACAGTAACATTTCTGTTTGCTTAATATGTTTTCAGAAATTCGCTCGCTTTAAAATAATATGCATCAGTTTTGTCTAATATTTTGATGGAAAAGGAAATCAAACAATGGTCCATTTCCTATAATGCAATAAAAATTTATTTCAATAATGAAGACATAGCAATGTTAGAATAGATTAACCAAATAAAATAGCTCCTCATTAAGTATTTCCTTTACATTAGTTTTACATTCTCTTTTACCATTTGAAGTTTCACATGTCTAAAAATTGTAGTATATTAGATTTTGTAAAAGAATAGCAAAAGAATTATATTATCCATATGTATCATAATAGAAATATATTATACACAAAAATGAGATAATTTTATCTAATCGAGACATTAAACAGTCTTTTATATTTTGTTTTGATATTGATTCATGCTCTATATCATTAATTTTGTAATTACCGAGAAATAGATCAGAGGGTGTGGAAGCTGTAGCTATTTCGGAGCAAAATGTTAATCGAGGTCGTGAGAGGGCTGGGCCACAAGACTTCGAATTGTGTAAGGTCATCGGAAAAGGTGGATATGGCAAGGTTTTCCAAGTACGCAAAATAACTGGCAACGATAGTGGAACTATCTTTGCAATGAAGGTAAGTTGTATCGAGTTTTGTACATCTGCCATCGAATCAATTACTTTTGATAAAAACTTCATCATTATTTTCGTGTGTCAGGTGTTACGTAAGGCATCGATCATAAGGAATCAAAAAGATATGGCACACACCAAAGCAGAAAGAAATATTTTGGAAGCTGTAAAGGTAAATCTGTTTTTGTCAATTTAAACATCTCTTAAGGTAATATGTGTTTAATTCTAACAATACCGCATTTTAATGTAGCTAATAAATCTCATTATCTCCTAGATTTTTATGATTTTTTGCGAATTTCATCTTTTTATAATTTGCCATGATATGTTAGTATATGCCTTCCATATTCATTAATTCAGGCACATCATATAAATTTTTTTGAATGTGCATATTAAATAGTTAAGTGAAATATTTAAAATTATGTATTGATATATATTTTTTGTGAACAGCATCCCTTTATTGTTGACCTTATGTACGCTTTTCAAACGGGAGGCAAATTGTATCTGATATTGGAATATATGTGCGGTGGAGAACTATTCTGGCATTTGAATCACGAGGGCATTTTTCTGGAGGATACTGCATGGTAAGCTATCTGTTTAAGTGCATTTGTTTTAAATCCAGAAATGCTAATAATTAAACACGTTTTTAATGTTGTTTCAGTTTCTATCTGTCGGAGATTATTCTTGCCCTGCAACACTTACACCTACAGGGAATAATATACAGGTATATAAAACTACATATCATTAATTATTGAGAGAACTGTTTACCATGGAAGTTAATTTTGCAGAGATCTGAAGCCTGAGAATATTTTATTGGATGCCGAAGGTCACATAAAATTGACAGACTTTGGTCTCTGTAAAGAACATATACAAGATGGAACTGTAACGCATACATTTTGTGGCACCATCGAATACATGTAAGTAAAACTACACTTATTTTTCCAAGGTGCTATAATATTAAGGCGTCCCATAAGTTTTAATTTAAAAAAAATTTTTTTATATATACGAAATGAATACACGGTGCGAAAAGAACTTATGGGACACCGTAATACATATGTAACACTGTTTATTTTACTAATGAACTGTTATATGAATATATTAGGGCTCCTGAAATTCTCTCAAGAAGTGGACATGGAAAGGCAGTGGACTGGTGGAGTCTTGGCACTCTTATGTACGATATGATAACGGGTTCTGTAAGTATATTTAAAAATGTCTATAAAGTTAATTATCATTTAAACGACTAGAAGAGGCACGTACTTTGCGTGGTTTATTCTTGGTTGAATATGTCGGTTGTGTCCAAGTTAAACGTTGACCATGTTAAAATCAAATCATTCACTTCTGCAGCCACCATTTACATCCGATAACCGGAGAAAAACCATAGACAAAATCTTGAAGAGCAAATTGCACCTTCCACCATATTTAACTCATGATGCCAGAGATCTGATCCGGAAGCTGTTGAAGGTAAATCACCTTATAACATAGAAATTAAGCTCTTTTTTTTGTTCAAATAAATTCTAGGCGTTTATTGAATGAATTTAGACGTTAATTATATTTTTCTTTACAGAGACAAGTCGCGCAAAGGTTGGGATCTGGTCCATCAGATGCAGAGCAGATCAAGAGCCACCAATTTTTCAAGCACATCAATTGGGATGACGTTATATCTCGTAAATTGGAGCCGCCTTTGAAACCTTCGTTATCCAGCGATGATGACGTTTCTCAATTTGACAAAAAGTTCACGATGACGGCCCCTGTTGATTCTCCAGCTGAATACACCCTAAGTGAATCTGCCAACAGGGTGTTTCAAGTAAGTATACACAATAATATGTATTATCACTTTAACATTCTTAATCTATAATTAAATATGGAACAAAACTATTTAAATAGATCATTTTCGTAAATAAATTCTTTAACAATATGTAAACCTGTTGCTGATACATTGTATGTGACAGCGAAACGTTTTTTGTAGGGATTCACCTATGTTGCTCCGAGCATCTTAGAAGACATGCATTCACAGCCACATGTCGTGAACGCCAGAAGTCCTCGCCGAGGCAATACGCGTGGATTCTCTCCTAGAGGAACGCATATTCACATCCACTCCTCGCATCTTCAACATAGGTGAGATTTAGAACAGTAAAGAAAAAACAATGCACAACAGGTTAAGGTGACAACAGTATATTGTACGCCAAAGATTTATTATTTAATACTTTGTTACCTAACTTTGGTACACTGTTATATTTATATTAAGCTCTTGTACGTGTTAATGATGCATCGTTACCGGGTTCAGTGCATATAACATAAACATTTAATATCCATGCATCGCCTTGTAGTATTGACAGAGACTTCCCATTTGTCGATTGCGACAAGTCGGAAATCATTTAAATACATTCAACATTTACCCATCCCGAATTCATTGTTTGGTTGTATGAGCATTGTGTATTTTCATTATTCATTATTTATGTATGTACTGTTATTTTATTACATTTTATTCGTAATTTTTAATGGTTTAGTTTTCCTTACAATTGGCGTTTTGTATTGTTACGAGTCAAATTTTAGTTCGCGAAATAGCAGAGAGCCCATGATGTATCGGTTTGATAAAATTTTCAAAAAGGGTATTTATGTTTGCCTCGGTATCACGTAGAACTCCGTCAATTCGGTAGATCCACGTTTTTTTTTACTTTTTATGTACCTGTATATGTTATACTCTTCGAACAAGTATTGAACATGGTGCTAGAAAATAACATACCGGTTTTCCCGTGCAATCTTGCCATTCAACGTAAACACTATTGTACGATCAATACTTATTTTTATTTATATCAAATGTATGTTCATCCAGAATTATTAGTCTGTGAAATATATCCACAAGTTTGTAATAAAATGATGTGTTTGCAATGAGTCAAGTACAAAACGAGTTCATTACATCTTTTAACACATTTTTTTTAATATCTTTTGGAAAGCAGTTTCAGGTTTAGGGGCTTACTTGCACATTGCATGTATTATTTATTATGCATTAATTAACGAATGGTTTAACGAGTATTTTTAAAGAAGACACTTCTAAAGTTTAGAAAGTTAACACATTCAACACCACAAGGGTCACTTGTGACCGACTGGCAATACATGTTTTAATATAATACAATTAACGTGGCGAGAACGGGAAAGTCTGTCAAAATACGTGTGGCATTGAATGTATTAACCTTTAGGTTTCTGCTAATAGACTTTTGAAACTCTGCCTCTTTTTATAAACAGCTTTTTACTAAAGGGGATATTTTTATACTAACTTTGAGGCGGAAGGGTTAATCAGTTATGGCAGGGTGATAAGAATAATAAAATATTAACTCACATGTAACGTAATAAATCACTGAAAGTATATTGCAAAATGGAATACACTTTCATATCATAGATACGATAAATTGAAATTGACCAGTGTGTAAAAAAAAAGTGTGTGGTGTATGTCTAAAAATGAAAAATTTCCCAAGGGTCGTTGCTCGACAACTTATCGAAGTTTCTGTGCTTTCCTTAGGCACAGTGGCGTCGGTCACAACGGCATCGAGGACACAGAAATGATCGAGATAGGCTAATCGCCTGTTCACTCGTAGCAGATAACATAATAAAATATCGGCCTAGCTGTTGGGTCTCTGAGATCGGTACTGGAGTCTCAGGGAGGGATTTTCTAACTGGTAGCAGGAGTTATAAACTGGTACCGCTAAACCTCACGACAGAACCGGATGCCCAGCAGTTACGTTTAGCTAATTGATCCTCTTCCTTTTCTTATCCGATTAATTATTAACGATTAATTAACGATACGCAAGAACATATACACGCCCACGTACACACAAATACAAATAGTTAAATCAACGCGTTCGAAAAATAGCAAATCGATGCCGAAGGGCCTATTGTCAAGGCCGAAAATTGCAAAATAGGGGGAAATGTCGCAGGAAATAATCGTCACTGTTTCCTGTAATTCATACTGCATTTCGTGTAAACGGGTTGCGACATTAATGATCACAACTCGAAGATTTTGTATAGTAAATATTTTTCTCTGAACTTTCGTTGGATCGGTGTTACGTGTGCAACTCTTATGTCGGCTAGAAGTGACGGGACTTTTATTTTTAACATGCAATCTATTCGACAATTAGAAGTAATGACAGTACAACACGGTAAAGGTTTCGATAGAATTCATGTCGCGACTTGTACATTGGGCATGTTTAACAGTGATTCCCACGATCGAGATATGAAACAGCGATATCGCAAGAGCACCTCTGGTGTTGCAAAGTAGTATGGCTGGCTAGTAACTCGTTGTCCAGTTGTAACTCGGTTAATATCGTTATTTATAATACTGAATGTATATAATAATGAACATGTATATACAAGACACGTTTATAATATGCACACATGCACGCCGAGGGAAGGTACTTGAAAAACCTTACGCAGTTGTACGGACATTGTGACGCCGAACGAGGGAAGCTATACATATAACGCTGTTTAAGCGACCATTGTAACAACAATTTAAGAGAAATCTAATTATCGGAGACACCTAGCTGATATTTTGTATAAGAAAATGGTGAATCGTTCCAGTTATCCTTTTAGAATAATTCCATGTGGATATTGAGAATGTTTTTCGCGAATTATCTTTTACCCTTTTATATTATTAATATCAGATGCTAAGAGAACGGCTAAGCGCAATTCAGATTAAAATGTGCCGAAAGAGGGGAATATTCATTAATCAATTTCTCTAAGTCCCGGTGATGTTCTCTTGAGCTGCAGCTTAATTGAAAAAAAGTAATTCGTATCGATGGTCAATTATTTATCAAGTTAAACGCCTGTCAGCTAGTAAAGTCTTCTTCGAATTGTTGGCGCAACTGAGCTTAACCTGCCCTATAAAAGTCAGTAGAAGGACCAGTAGATCACGAACCAAAAACATGGTGAATTGTATGAACTTTTTATGACGCTTTATTGTATTTTTAGTGAATTATATATCGATTTATATCATATTCTCTCGGGCACTGGAGAGATTTTCAACATCGATTTGCAATCGCTAATTGCGGAACGGTGATTGTGCAAGCCGGGAAATCGGTAAACCAAGTTGTCGAACCAAACACAAACTGTTAACCGGTTGATCGATGTTAGTCAAACCTATCAGTCGAATACTTTTCTATAACGATATGCCAATAATAGGAATTGCCCGATGAATGAGCTCGACTAACTGCCTGTAAATTTAACGGTAAATTAGATCAACCCGTTCTATAAGTTAAAACGATTAAAATGTGTCCTGTGGTCAAATTACGGAGTGTACATATCGAACTGTCTAAGTGCTACGCAGAAACAATCGAGACATAGTCATTTCCTGTAATATTATTCTTTGTATTATATTTGAATTATCACCTTGTACCTGCCGATCAGCACTTTTTAACAGTTCTTTCATTTATAATTGTTAATACATCTAAAGTTTAATATGTACATTTTCCGATTTCGTGCAGACACAAGTGTTCCACCTCCGATCAAACTTATCATGATGCATACAGTGCTTAGGGCAAATTTGTAAGAGCAATCGTTGAAACTATCCAACGAGATACAGTCGACTAGTAATTAGATGAATTTATGGAAACTTAAATTCAACCTGAGCCGAATAGGTTTACGATTACTACCTCTTGTAACAAGGATATGCGTGCTTCGGTTAGAAGCCAACTAACGATTTGTCGAAAGTAATGATGTGACGAGTCGAAACTTTACCAAATCGAGTCACTTGAATTCATAAGCATTGCCAACTCGAGTTTTGACTCGAGTCGGTAACTCGCAACGAGTCGAGTCAATCCCGAGTTGAAGAATAAAACATTTCGAATAACGATTACTTGAATAAACAAATAAGGCGCGGTAATAAACAAATCGACATCTCGGTAGGAATAACTATGTCTCGCTCTTACACTCGTAACTCGCATTCGTTTGTACCGATAACTCGAGTTACATTAAAAATGACTCGAGTTGACTTGAACACATGCTTGATTCGAGTTGAACGAGTTGAGGTCATATGAAAGGGATATTTAAAATATAAAAATATATGCCAAAATATTTACAAGACATTTCTCCAAACTGGATGCACCGAATCATTTGAAACTTTAACGCGTGATCATGGACACTTTAAGGAAAAACGCGATACTCGTGAAATTTCGTTTTTCAATCAAATATTTTTGTTTAGCCTAGACTAGAACCAGGATCACATTCTTTTTGATGAAAAATGAATTTCTACCAGCATTGGGATCTTCCTTAGGATCTTCATAATTACGTGTTGAAGTTTTAAACGATTCGGTGTACCCAGTTTGGAGAAAAGTTTTATCAATATTTGGACGTTTTGATATATAGAATGACCCTTTCGTATCACCTTAACAGGTTAAAATATTCGACTCGTGGCATCACTAGTCGAAAGAACTTGCGTATCCGCTAAATAACTGGGGAGTGAAACGTGCAGGCAGATTGTATTTCGACAGGTCGGTGGGAAAACATTGACAACAATGTAGATAAGTGACTTTTAACGGAGTACAGTGTAGCCCTATTCGAGTCAGTACCAAGATGTGCAGACTGCAATGACTGACTAGAAACATAATGATTAAAGCCCGTTTATATACCGACTTACGCATTCACGATTCGTGACACCGTGCGCTGCCGTATCGTGCCGAGTTGTCTGATGTTAATGGACAATATCGATGAAGGGGAAACTAGCAGTAGTCCGACACACCGTTAGTCTCGTCGACGAGTAATATGTTCCCTTGATACATATTATAGATTCTGTTACCAATGTAATACCGTTACTGCCACTTTCGCGTGCTCACTTCCGCTTGAAAGTAATCAGCGACATTAATGGTCATACACAATTGAAAACCAGTTTTTCCTGCCATCGGATCTTTGTTCTTTTTTCTTATCTTTCTTTTCTATACCTGTTCTATTTCATTTCCGATTGAGTGCTGCACGTACTGCGGTAGTTCTCCCTTTTGCACAATGACAGACAATCAAGGAAAATGTACATAATTGTCATTTTGCATTCGATTGCTTTTGTAAAACAGAGCTGAAACGTAATTAGTGTACGATTAGTAATGTCCTATGACGTAGAGCGGGTCGAATTATGTGAGCATTAAACTTGAAGGGATATTTTCAAAACGTGACTTGTCACTTCTCACGTTTTGACGGTGTCCGGATATTCGTGAAAAACTATTTCCAGTGATCGTTGAGTACAGTTCATGTTCTTGTTTTGTGAAACTTATACTCTTGGTACGCATGGTAATGGTACGGAGAAGAAGGGACAACGTTCACGGGAAACTATAAAGAAAGCGACACGAATTTTAAATAATCCTACACAGATTTGATATAATTTTACAGCACGCAACACATTAATTTTTATTTTTCTATTGAAAAAAAAAACATTATTTCTTTGGATTAGCGCGATTCGAAGGATTACTCCTCCATTACCATGTCCCCTTGCCAAAGCGAATTTTTATGAACAAACACTGCAACACATTTGTCGACCAGTCGTGCATTTTTAAAAGAAATCGTGCCGCTTGATTACAGCCCGTACACTGTACGAGAAAAGAGGAATAGTACAAAACGGCGTAAATTTCTGACTGATCGTTAAGGGGGTGTGAAAGTGGCATTCGAGGGCTCAATCGTTTATGAAACTTTTCTCCGAACTGAGTTTACCAAATCGTTTGAAACTTCACAACTCGAATATAGAGGCTATAAGAAAGGTCTTGACTCTCATGAAATTTCATTTTTTATAAGAAATGTGAAAAATGTCTACGAAAAAATTGTCAAAAAAATTCAAATTTCATAAGTTTCAGGATCTTCCTTATACCCTCCATGTTTATATTGTAACGTTTTAATCGTTTTGGTACATCTTATTCGGAGATAAGTTTCATAAATGAGACCTCTTTGACGTCACATTCACATCGCCTTAAGACACGCTCCACCGGTTTGCCGTTCGATGATCGCTTCGTTGATAATATCAAATCATTCGGTTCGTCGAGAGGCTTACGCGACTCTCGGCGAGGTATAACGCGAGAAAGCCAAATACTTGTGCCTATGTCAACGTGTATTGTAAAGGAAAAAGAAATCATTTTGTACTTCCACGCCGATCTCAACGCTCTCTTTGCTTCTGCTCGGTTACATATGTACGAAGACCAATCGTTGTAACTATGAGAAATGTTTACGCTACCTTTCGCGGGACGATTCGCGATAAATAGTTCACCTGTTGTTGCAAGAGTAAAGTTTGTATATGAAGAGCTCGTAGAAAGTAGTTACGAGGATGTCACGTTTAGACGAAGGAATTCATGCACCTTGACCAAGCTTTAAGATAGTAATTTCTCCGTGGTCGAGATAAGATACGACGCTATTACGTTGCTACGTTGATGAAATATGCGCACGAAACTACGACTGATTATCCGATTCTTAAAAGGAAATAATAAATAATAGTAGTATAATGATAATATTAATAATAAACTGCCCAAGTGTTCAGAAGAGTTCGCTGTGTCAAAAGCAGTCAAAGTTACCTTTCACAAGCTCATTCCGGTCGAGATGCAATGCATAAGAGAATGTCGACGAATTGTTAATTGTCCTCCGTACGTGTCGTAAATCACGCTTTTTAAATTAACAACCCGAGAAGGAGTCTTTCTTCGACCTGCCCTAGGCTCGTTGCGTCTCGACTGCCCGTACATGAATAACTACTTACACGCATACCTCTCTCTCTCTCTCTATCTATCTATCTATACAAATATAAAACATATAAATAACATTGTAATAATCGCAATCAATTGTATCATAATTATACCAATGCGTAACAAGAATCTGCCACGATGCTTCGCCTATGATCCTGAAATTATTCGTATCGCGGGAGACTAAAGTGTTACTCGTTTATATTGTACAAAGTGATCGCACTTATGGAGGTTCTATGGGGACTGGTGATAATTAATTGTAGGAGGTGAAATTATCGAAGGCGAATCTACTATTGACAAGTCTGTAGTTTCCATAGATTCACAGGTATTGTTATTTGACTTATTGTTAAAGAAGACGTATATAGAATGGATTCAAGCGTTCCGTTCTGCGATCCTCGACCAAGTGCCGTCCCGTCCACTGTTCGCAGGGACCGTCTTGGTCTAGCCGTATCAATTGTTTAGGCTATGCTCATATCTTCTAAACATACTCGCCTTTCCTCGCCCATGATTCTGGGAATAGGCCCGCCCATGGACCTCCAATTATTTTGTCTTGTCTCTTCGAAATATTTCCTTCATAATTATCAATGATAATTGAGAAATATCTTATTTCTTGGTATAGGCTTCGAGGTATAGGCTTAAAAAAAATAACAAATGTTGTTGAGGTCATAAACTATGAAACCGTAATGTGTATATTTCCTTGAAATACTTCTTTGCAATTCTTGATGCATTAACTGATAAATTTTTATTACAATAATTGAAGTAGAGAATGTAGTGCTATTCGTGGCAAAAATATTGCTACATGTGCAGTGACGACGAAGTTAAATGTGATTCATTTTGTGGATAATAATCCCCGTTTCTTTCCGGCGATACGAATGCTAATTTAGATAATTAGTAACTATTAAAGAACCGGTGTATGTATATAGTATAAAAAAAAATTATTAGTAAGGATCGCACGGCATATTCTTGAGAGCATTAGAGCAGCGTAATTACCGATAGGCAGTACGGAGGAAGGATAGCTAATGACACTAATGACATTGCACATTTGCGCTATTGCTAATTATTTTGTAATTAATGGATAGCTGGGGTTCTGCGTTTCGTCTGTTCCGGGGGCGAAGAGCCACGTATGTGGAATCGTTTATAAGATATCGACAAATGAAAATCCTGCGTAAAGGAAGCTCCAATGATTTCCAATATTTCCAGTTTCCTGAAATATTGGGAGTGCTTACGATATTTTGAAAGTCACTGTAACGACTCGTTAACGGAGCGAAACTCGCCGATGGCTCGATCAGTTTTGTTGCAATAATTGGGGTGTCATGTAGAGATATGATTTTGCAATATTTCTAAAAGGAAATCCTTGTAGATTTTAGGAAGCGCGCGAAATGCGGGGGAAGTCTCTTTTCGGCGAACGCCTTAATTCATTACCCAACTCGTTAATGAATTTTTGACGAAGAAAAAGGTAGAAAGGAAAATAGATTAGTTAGGAGCAGAATAAATCTGGACATCGGCCAGATACTCAAGTATGCACTAACTATCGGATAATTTTCATAGTAAGTTTAAGCGAGGAGTCATGGTATAATGTTACTCGATTACTGGACAGAGAAGAAACAAAAAAAAAGAGAAAACTTACGAGAGAAGAGAAGAATGATTTCCTAGGAAAATAGAGAAACGAGCGTGCTGTCTAGGTACTCGTGTGATGGCTCTGTGCTGCAGACTAATTAGCGAATGATTTTGCGAGATAATATTCAGAGATAATTAATCGATTAGCCAGTGGGAAATATTACACTAATAATCACTCGATTATTGGCGACCTTGGACAAGAACATCCTTGAGGGAAACGAGGATGAGTTTTTAGTGAAATGCTCGACGTAAATGTATCATTAATTTTCATATCAAGGAACTAATATCGTTAAGCTTTTGAATAACGTGTGAGTACATTGTACTGAATTTCATGAAATTATTTGTGCCTTGTATTCGGAGTGACGTGCGACTTAGAGATATCAATTGTATCGCTTTCCATTGGTAAAGGTGTGTTATTACGTGTTCAATTAGGTTTATCTCGGTTTTTTCTTTTTGGTATAATCCAGCGCGGGCATCGAAAATTATGCGACTGAAATCGGAGAAGGTTGAAAGGTAATCTGCTTTTTACTAATAACTCAAACCTTTTCAGGCTCCGACTATATATGCATCTGTGTTTATCTAGTGTTTGTTATGATTTATGAGACCTTAATAGAGCTCTGTGTACATCATAAGACGATTAATTTTCTCTTAAGCTTATCGTTAGGAATTTTCGTGTGGGTATGCGTTACTCTTAAAGGACGCGGAAACGCGCGCGGCATATAATTTATTATCACACATGCAACTTTGCTCCAGTCTCACTTGTTCCGCGGACTTTTCATTTATTCCCTCAAGATCGAGATGGAGATTTCTGCGTGGTTACGTTAGCCTTAATGTATATCGATGATAAGAAAATTTGTTGTAATTTTATTATAATTTTAATCGAAATTTCGGAGATGTCCAGTCAACTCGGAACTGCAATGCGGTAGAGGAGTTTCCATTGTTACGTTGTTCGTACATGGTATTGGAAGTACTCGAATTTCCTGTTATATTTTGTATGTTAATCTCTTATGGGAATTTTTGCAGTTCTGACTTCCCAACTGACGCCAGAGAAGATATTTTGTTGCTGCACTAAATGTGTGGAAAATTGTAATTTATGAGAAGCAACATCATTTACGATAACTACATTCTGGTCATTTATTGTGCTCAATAGACAATTGATTCCCTTACGCTGCTATGTCGTGGAAATCTCGTGCACTGTTGCTCTTAACACCAAAATGTTTTCTTCTTATCTTGGAAGTATAAACTTATCGGATCAAACGTCGAACCGTTATTAATAAATTACTAATCGCTAAGGTTTGGCGTAACTTGAATGTTTATTTTGTTGTTTATTTTAACAATTCGGTTCCGTGGTCACGCCAAAGGAAATGTTTATCCATGGAAATTAATAAAAGTTGAATGAAAGTATATTTATTACTTTCCGGATATTATTTCTTTTTTTTTTTTCTTTTTCTTTTTTTCGGGAGGAAATTTACATTTTATCACAGGAAATATTTTTTTTACAAGGCTCTGTACTTGTATTTATTTTAATTACTTACGACACGATTTTAATATTGTCACGCATATGTGTCGCGTGAACGTTCATTTTGAAATATAATTACAAGACTTAGATTCAATTTCGATCATTGTCTCGGTCGAGACATTTTTGGAACAACGAATGCCACTTTATACTTCCGCTCTTGTCCATAGATGTATTAACACGTTTTATACATTACTGAGTGAGAAGTCCTTCGACCGATTTAAGGGTATATTTCCTTTACCGTATGAGTAGCATTATTATTGCAATTATAAAAAAAAAAGAAGCACGTTAACAGATAGGCGGAAGTGCTACGTATACTTTTCCATCGTGTGGAGAAAGAACTTGTAAAGTAAACTCAATAAAATACTTATATTGTGAAATCGTACGGCGTTTTTGACTTTAACCACTTCACATTCATATTATCATATAATTCCACTTGTATTCGTTTTATCAAATATTATTTAATAACGTATCGTTTACATAGAAAAATAAAATACATGTGACGATATACCAATGTTCAAGCATCAGGGATCATTTTGCACAGCAAATATATAAAAAAAAACAAGTTTCTCTTTTCATTTTTTCATTCTCTTACATCGTACCTCTTTGTTACTTTTTCGATAGCATTGACAGCCCTTAGCATTCTTTGGCATAGATTCCTTACATGGAGATTTTTCACATTCGTTGATTACACAAGGTTCTCGATAAATCATGCAGGCCTCTGATTTGGATACGTGATTTTCCCTGGAATATTTTACTTTGTGCGAGTATTCAATCAGATTATTTTTCACATCCTTTGACAAAGGAGATGGAGTCTTTTCATTTCGTGCCGGTGGAGTGATCGCATCCAAGATGTTCTGTACCTGTTCATTATTAAAAATAATTCCAAACACTTTTCAACCCTCTTATAGTTTCATTTGCATCTTCGATTTTACAGCTACCTTGCTCAAAGGATCTCCCTTGCCTATGCTGACTAAGTTCTTATTCTCCAATGTTGATTTCTCTTTGTTCTGGCAATGTGATTTATCCCGATACAGCTTCTGCGGTATTTGAGGTGTGTAATACTGTGCAGGCACTACTGAAGGTTCTGTATAAAAATTAACATTTCATTAGTATAAAGAAACTAGCTAAAGGAACATCAATTTTACGGTAAGACTGCACCACTTTTAACTTCAATGAAAAACATTTAGGACCATATAAAATGTTTAACTCGGAATGAATAATATATCAACATCAATAGGAAGGCCGCACAATTGTTAGAAATATTGTAAACATATTGACTGTGTAAATATACTTTTGAATTTTTCCAACTCAACCTAGGCACGTGGTAAATTTAAATAAAATTAAGAGACTTCACGGAGTGAGATCAATTTGCTTTAAACATTTAATACGTGATTGAGGACGATCAGCTGACAAACTGCGTTCATTTTCCAAAATCTTCTTGATTTCCATTGCAGGCTTCAAGACTTTAAGAGCACCGTCAAGATGCATTTCCAACTTGTCGTAGACCTCTCGGGCCTTCTGCTCATCAGATTTCTTCGGTGTGAACCAACTGGGTGGTGGAGTTGGAACCCCGACATCACGTAGCACGTTTAAAGCTTTGGAGCCATTTTCACCCAAAGGAATTCCACCGACGAGAGCTTGAATTGCAGCTCCCACGATATGGCCCCCTGGGCCAGTTATTATTCCGGCCATTGGTATAAAAATACTCCTGCTCAATATTTAAATATTAATTTACATTTAATCTAAATCAGTTGCGTGTTATCTAGTCTCAAGTAGCACACTGCGAACGATTTAATGACGATCGACCGTTGGAAGAGCAAGAAATATAGGGAAAAAAAGTAAATATCTAACCTCAACGCGAAGTAAACAGACCAGAGATTTAGAATATAAATCTGGAGATATGGTGTAACGATTAATGTGCGAAAGTAAATACACACACACGGTCACTTTCTGGACGAGTCTTATTGCCATTAAATACTTTTCATTGTACAGTTAATACTGTATATAACTTATTTGTAAATGTCTAACAAGGATAAACAACTTTGCCGATTAGTGTATATTGTACAACGATTAATTTATAAATATACATCGGTAGGCGCATAGAATGATTTAGTAGTAAGTCAATTTATGGAGGAGCGCGTTGACAATTCGCACGAATTAAGAATACCAAATGTCAACGTGTCGTCCGATTGTCAGGAGACTTGACAAGGATCCAGTCTCGAAGTTAATGAAATTACAACTCTCGAGCGATACGTTCAGCCTGTCAATTGGTCTAATATTCTTTACATTAGGTCAATAAGTGCTTACAGTTATTGCAAAATTACGTTATCAGTTGGACCTTAGCGATTGGCTGTGTTATGATATCGTCACTTATAAAGATTCCTTCACTCGCAGTGTTGGGCAAATTAATATACACAAGGTAATACACTCTTTGAACGGTCTTTCACTCTTCTAAGAATTTATAAGAATTATCAAGGACTTGCCAACAACGATTCAAAGTGTCCTGGAGCTTCTATGTGGTCCTTAAAATCATACTCGGACCTATTCATACCTTAAATACAATATTATGTAAACTTTACCCAACTCTACTCCGTGGTAAATATCCTTTATCAAAATCAGTAAACGTATAGAGCGCGCAACGAGCACGTAATTCTAAAATATCAATTGAGAAGGCACTTTCGATCGAGTCTTACAATTAATAATATTAATACTCTACTTATAACGTATACCGTATCATGAAATGGTATTCACAGTATTTGGAAACCTTGAGGATATAATATTTTAGTGATGAGTTTGCTCTACCTCTATAAGTCAAGTGCACGCTATTCACTAAAATCATTGGGATATTTTTACAATATCCCTATCATAAAGATTAGTATAAACGTATTTGTTAATAGGAAGCACTGCTGTGCCTCGGCTTCTTTCAATTTCGGCGACTATACAGCTTGTCGGGAGAATACAATGAATGCGAGCGAATACAATAAGGAATAGTTAAGCATCGCCTTTCCATAAATTATTATAGCTACCACTAAAAGATCGGTATTTCTACAGTCGCTAATTCGTTTCATCCTATCATAAAGCTTTTCAAATTTCACATTCATATTTCAACATTTTTTTTTAAACTTAATTTATATTAATTAATGTAACAAAACTAAAAAACGAAACATTCGTTTTACAAGAAATCTCAAGATTCGGTTACTGCTTATGGTCTTCCTCGCTGTATTCTCCGTTAAGGTGGTGTAAAAGTGGCGTCGAAGAGGCTTCGTTTATGAAACTTTTCTCCAAAGTGGATGCACTGAATCGATTCGAACTTTACAATATAAATATGGAGGGTATAAGGAAGGTCCTAAAACTCATGAAATTTCAACTGCTTAAGAATTTCGGAGGAAAGTTTCATGAACGATTGACTCTTCAGATACCACTTTTATATCCCCCTAGCTTTCCTATACGTTCGATCTCACCGTATTCTCTCGGGAAATCTGCTTCGATATACTTTGTCAGCATGAATCTGAATAAGCTTTAGAACATAATATTTCATAAATATAATACTATCACTAGGTAGTGACACCGAAGTGTTCGTTTGTCGCAGAATAAAAAAAAATTAGTAATCCTAACAGGGTGTGCGACTAAATATGCAGGATAAAACAAAGAATTAGTTCGTTTGAGCAACGACCAGCTCTCGTTTTGATAATAACGAAAGCAGCTTTATATTAAGTGAGAGCAATAGATATTTCTCGTGTTGAACTAGGCACAGTTAACTTGGCCTTAAGGGAAACAGTTGGAGTTTTGGTAAAGCATTGTTGATTGGTATAATTAGAATATATCTTTCCAAATTTTTTTATGTTTATCCAAAGAAATATGGAAAGGTGAAGGACGTTTTCTTCCTTGTTCATTGAAGAACATTCAGGATCACTACGAAATATGGAACTACCTTTAAGGGGATGTGAAAGTGGCATCCGAAAGCGCAATCGTTCATAAAACTTTTCTGCGAACTGGATGTTTCAAATCGTTTCATACTTTAAAACGTGATTATGGAGACCCTAAGGTAGGTCCTGAAACTGGCGAAATTTCATTTTTTATAAACTATTTTTAAAATACCTATAAACAAATTTGAAAAGAATTGAAATTCCATGAGTTTCAGGACCTTTCTTATAGTCTTCCTATTCACGTTGTAAGGTTTCAAACTATTCGGTAAACCGTGTAGGGAGAAATGTTTTATAAACAAAACCTCTTCGACGCCACTTTCACATCACCTTAACTTAAATTTTGATTCTACCAAAAGTTCCCAGAGGGCCATTCTTAAAATGATCTTACACCTATTCTACATTATCAGGTAAGAAATTTTCGCACAGGCACAACATGGACGGTTAATTCAGAATCGAAGAACTATTATGTGTTTAGAAGACATTGGTGAATATCTCCAATAACGCATTAACATATCTCAATGTCTTAACGTGGACCTGGATAAATTATTATTTTGACAACAATAAATTGCATACGATAGAATACATATCACCGTTTTCCAAAAAATTGGACGTGCGCCTTTAAAAATCTCCCCTACATATTTCATTTCCCAGAGTCGAATCGCTAACTTCTAAATTTATTAAAATAGATATCTAAAAATGTTTAATTAGGCCCGTCGCAGCTAGTTGAAAGCGACATTGAAAGAGAAGCAAAAAATTATATCGTTCAATCATGGCACATAAAATTGTGCGCGTTTTTGAAGTGGTATACAATTTCCTATGCATAATTAAAATTAAATCAATAAAATAGAATATCCAAATCCTTGTCGAGACATTACTCTAGTCACTCGTAAATAATAATACACCGCATGTATGACATGCGTGTATGTACTCTTGCCATTACTTAAGACGACTAAGGAACCCGAAAGACTTACTGCGAAGCAATTCCTGATTACTGATACTTAATTTACTTACAGATTTTTCAGTGTATCAATTTCTTGAATTTCTAAAACCTTAGGAATTTTTCATTATTGCTCAATGTTATTCTGACTTTTGTTCCTCATTCTTAGTAACGAGGCATCGGTTAAAGAATAAGTTCCAGGCTCGAAAACTGGTGGATACTCGAGACCTGGATAATCTGGAGGTGGTGACGTTGGTGGTGGAATATATGGTAACGTAGGAGGAGTCAGCGAGTTCCTCTTTGTATTGTTCAATTTCCTTTTGCAGGCTGTCTGAATCGCAGAACATGGAACCTAATAAGTATTAAACTAGTATTACTGATATTTATAATAATAATAATTATTAATATTCTAATACATTCATAAATAAAAAAAACCCCACAGTTCATTTCCATACCTTGGCCATTTGGTTCACTGGATTTAAAGTTGGGGTGTCTGGACTCCAATCACTGGCTGAACTTATCGAGCTGAAACTTCTGCTAAGTGTCTGCGATTGACTGGCTCCACTGAATGAACTCAACGATCTACTTATTCCACTATCCCCCGGACTTTGGCTGTTGGATCGGTTAGCTTTCTGATCTTGCTGACTACTGGTCTTGTCTCGGAACAATGCTCTGTGCAGCCTTGGTGAACCTGTATTCAATTATGCCATTACAATTTGCTCCTCAAATCAAACTCCATACGTAAGTAAAATAAATGTAATTATATAATACTGGATATAATATATACATAAGGATGCAATTGTATTTTTTATACACTATAGCTGTTATACCTAAGAGGGTTTTTTGGGGTTCTTTGGGAAGGTCCAATGTGTTCGGCTTTTGAGGACTTCTGGATCCGAATAAACTCTTAAACCTGTTAGGCTTTTGAACATGCTCGCTCTTATCCAGGTGCATCTCAAACGCTGGTCTCATACCATCTGGCTCGAAAGGTGAGTTTGGTATCGGTGGAGGTTGATACTGAGCTACGTTCTTTAATCTATTTTTCTCGACATTTTCGTGTCTATCAATGCGCCTCAACGAGTCCACCCAATGTTTATCTGCAGAGGCGCGAAGATCTCGACGATCTATTAGATTGAAACTGCCCTTACGAGTCAGAAGTGCTTCCTTTTTGGTCCGCTGTAAAGTCTCCGAGGAGGTTCGACATGCCAAGTCACTACTGGACCCTGAATACCCTGTGTAAAGAATATAAAAAGAAAGGTGTGATTATAAAACAAATGAAAAAGTTATCGATACCATTTGGTATTTATAACTTTTTAGGGTTAACGATGAATAACTAACTCTATTTACCATCATTCCTGACCAATTTCCTTGGAGTCGAACTGACATCTACAATGGACTCTACACTTGCAGGTTCTCTTAGAAGTGAGTCAAAGTCCTTCGATCTAGAGTGACATTTTAACTCAGGCCTAGGAAGTATCGTAGGCCCATAGATCCTGGCATCACTGACTCGCAAAGATTCCACTGCTCTGATCTGACTTTGAATCCCTTCCAAACACTCTCCGGACTGTGAATGCGACCAGCTCTTTGTATATTTCGAGTCATTGCCTCTTGACCAATCTTTTTGTCTCATCGCATAAGAGGCAGCATCTTGTTGCTGCCTACCAAAATCTGCTCGCTGAGTGCAACTTGGTTGCCAGGATTTCTTCTGAAGACACCCCGGTTGCTTCAGCTTGACGAAGGATTTCTCAACTATTCGCATGCCATTCTCATCCTCTTGGCTGTACGTTCTTCTCTGATCCCTAGATAATTCTAGGGATCTGTTGTGTGCATTCACGTCCTCAACTGTTCGGGACAAACCGCGAGGAGGTACAGTATTCATGGATTTTCTATCTTCGTAGCTTAGGATATTTTGCCCGTAGGGCACTCCGTTGCTGGGTGAGATGCTCCTGGAGTGGGTAGAGTCATACATTAATGTTCCATCATCGAAATTCCTATGCTTCACATGGACGTGATCGCTGGTCAATGGAGTTGTATGAGAAGACGATGAGGAATAACCAATAGTCCGGGGACGTTCTTCGTCCAGGCTTGAAGATACAAATTCTTCCAGAGTTACGGTGTTCGATATCTCATCAGGCCTTCTCTCTCGAGTACTCTGAGACCTATCAGGAAAGATATTTGATCAGTTTTTATTTATTTAATATATCAAGAATGTTTCAACCCAATATCTGGACAATTTTAAGGAATTTTAGAATTTTATTAAAATCATTATTACCACATCTTAAAGCAAAGTAACTCGTCAGTTTAATTTCAAGGAGAAACGTAAATATGTACATTTAATTTCAAATAAAAGATTTATCAATATACACGGAACGGAATAATTTGCTTCTAAAATTATTCCTCTACAGATTGAATAACACCTTCCGAATTATTTAGAAGAGTTATCCCAAAATTTCAACTTATTCCATCAAACACAATTGTAAATAATTAGTCTGATTTCGAAAAAGAAGTTTAACATTACACAAATAATTAGTTATAATAAAAAGTAAACGCGTACCAGAAGGCTTCTGCTGTAATAAATAAAATGAAATGCAACCAAGATTAACTAAAGAATTTCCTAATTAGACATTTATATCCTTAACCGAATGTTTTTATATATTCTTTTTTATGTGAAAAAATCACAAATGAAAAAAGAAATATACTATCTTTTTACAGAGGCAGCGCGTTTTGTGACTTACCTATTGCCATAGAATCTGCACGCAAATAGATTTTACATGCAAAGAACGCACTCATCGGTTGATTAGTTAGGTACGATGCAGCCAGGTTGAATACGTAGTTAGGTCATGACGTGCACAAGTTGTCAACATACAAAATGAATGTACACCTCTCGTCGAAATGGTAAACAATTTATTACAACAGTAGTAACATCGTTATCTTGAGCGAGAAGTCAATTAGTTTTTGGCAAAATTGAGCGTTTTGTTAGAAGCAGATTGTGATCGAGGGAAAGTTAAGCGGAAGAGGATAGCTCATTAGTGCTAGTTCATTCTTAGAAAAAAGGAAAAAGAAAATAGAAACACTAGGCGTCTCTCGTTGATAATCTCTTGTGAAAAATATTACCTATCCGCTGTTCGCCGGTAATCAGCCATTTCTTGACTAGTTGGCACATCGGAAGCACTTTGAGACGAGCTGAGTCCATAAAATGTACTGCCTGCTACAGTCACTTGCATATCCGCTATGTTTGGTATCGATTCCTGTTTTCTGAAATTAATTATTTTTCTCAATTCACATTCGCGTAAATATTTTCCATTAAACAATTCCACACAAGACATTGATAAATAAAAGGACACTTGTAAGGTTCGATTACACTAATCTCTTTCATCACTGTTCACCTATTCGGAGTAGATGTAGGTAACACTCTTCGATAGCTTCTGAATTGAGCTGTTGGCACTGGAACATTTTGGTTTCGGGCACCCAAAAATCTCAAGTACTTCCTATCCAAACTAGCACCACTCATCTCGTGTTCCTTAAAGCCGGGTTCCTTTCTAGTAGCTTTTTTCAGAGAACCACAAATCTTCTCTCGACTTGGCTTCGATTCTGGAGTCTGGACACCCTTTGTCCTACTCTTGTTCTCACAGTCACTTTCATCTGTTTCACTGAACAGTCCACTGATCTGGCTGTGACTATCGGTGCCCAAAGTGGCTTTGTTGATGGCATCAAGCCATATTCCCAGAGAATCTTCAGCATCGGTTGCAAAATAAAATACCGTACCCGTGTGATAGACTTTGAAGGCAAACTTTCTAGACTTTACTTCGGCAGCTTGGGATCCGGTAAATCCAGTTAAAGCTATCAAGCAATCTGCTTTTGTACTATCCTGCGTCTTGAATCTATAAAGTAAAATAAGTATACCATATATAGAGGATATTACAAACCAAAGTTACAATTTTGCGAGCCTCGCTTTGGAATGCTTCGGGTTAAAAGAAATTTTGTTCTAAGGGATGACGAGATAAATGAATAGTCGAAACGAGACTTAGAAGAAAGTAAAAAAAGAGTAAATAACAATACCTATAAAGGAAAGAACCTTTGAGTATAAACCAAGCTCTGGCCCAGGCTCCTCCAGCACCCCGACTTCTATACGTCAACCACCCCTCCAAATCGCCTGCTCCGATATCTTTCACTGAAACGTTTCGTCTTTCTAAAAGTAATAACAAGTATTCCAACAATTAAGCCATGTGAAACAAACTACCGAAAACAAATGTATTAAATATTTTACAGTTTATTGTCCTTACTTGCGAGCAACATGTTTCGCTTTCTACTGATTCGAGGACTGGAGCCAGAGGACTTGTTTGACGTTCCTGGTAGACCGATGCTTCTGGCAACCATCATAGCTCTATTGACAACTCCTTTCTCAGGATGTTTGTCCTTTTCTATAGTCCTAGTTTTCAAATCTGGAGATTGGTTCTGCCTAGAACATCCTACACCGTCCGGAGAATCCGCATTTCTGGCAAGACATTCAGATCTACACCGATCCATGGTAAAATGGCTCATCCCATTGGATCGGTCTTCATCGAACTTATCATATCTATTCCTATCATCCTTCAACTGGTTCTCAAAAATCTCCGTATAACTACACTCGTTGATCGGAGTGGTCGGCTCATCAATAAAATCCATCGACTTCTCTACAAATTCTCGATAAGTTTCCAGATGATCATTCTTATGTCTAGTGTCAAAGCCTTCGGGTTTATGTTGCTCCACAAACTGTTCCACTTTACCAAGCTCTCTGCTAGTAGAGGGCTTTTGCGGAGCCTTTGGTCTCTCCAGAGTATCGGGTAAGTTAGGACTGTTCGATAGGTTCAAGTTCAATGGAGCAGGTTTTGTGAAGTATTTCCTAGGAGGAGGCTCTGGAGGAGTGAGTCTGGGTTTTATTTCAGGTTTCTTGGCAGCCTTATTTTTCGACCACCCAGAACATGTACAAGTCTGCAAGGCACCATAATTCCTACAGCACGAGTTCATATTACTACTGCAAGAACATTGCGGAGGAGTACTCTGGTTTTCCTGAGGTATTTGAATATCACTAACTGAATTAGGTTTGAGAGAAGTATTGTGCACAGTGATTTGTTTCTCTGTCGAAGTGGCCATATTGTCAACCGAAGCTTGGATCAAGGCCTTCTTCTCGATGAGCCTTGAGTGCTCCATTAAGGCACAGTCAATGGTTTGCAGAATAGCACCAAACTTTTTGAATGTCACATCTCCTTCGCTACTGCTTCCGGTGCCTTCGTTATAGCTCTCCGTAGATTCGGTCTTTTCATTGCTACTCTCCCGATTCAATTCAGAGCCTTCTTCCGAAGTTTCAGGATCAGTTCCTGGTCTGTCGATTCGATTCCTGACAATCCTATGGTTTTCACTGCTCGATCCACAAGTATTATTTACAGGATGCGTGATACTGTCGCTATTGCTTTGGCTAACTTCACTGCAACTGGCTTCATCGACGTCGGAGACTTTAATATGTACAACACTTTTAACTAAGTCTGCAGAACTGGATGCCATTGACGTAGACTGTTTTCTGTCAACATCGGAGTAGTTGGAATTACATTCCACTTTGTTAGCCCCCACTACTCCGGTTGCACTTTCCGAGCCCACAGCTGAACTATTATCGATCTCGTTACTGCAACTTTCTGCATTTTCCTGCGAATCAGTCTTTTTAGAGATAATACTAGGTACGCTTCGTGGCATACTGGTTGGTGGTCGAAACTTAGGCCGGTTCTCCAAAGTGGCAGTTTTTCTTTCCAGAAAATCTACCTCAGTGAGATCATAGGCCGGAGTGCTATGGCTCTTATCCAACTTGCCACGTTCTTTACGTCGAGTATTGCTCCGTGTCTTGTTATCACCATCATTGACAACTTCCGTGCTTTTCTCCGAGTTTGCCTGCTGAGTACTCGCATTGTTCTTAACGTTTATATTATTAATATCTACGTTCGTTGAGTTCTGACAACATACTTGATTGGGATCCAAGGGTTCATTTTTTCGAGTATCATCTTTTGAGCCGTCAACAGTCCTCCAGTCTTTCAACGACTTTTCGCTCTCTTCTGACGAGGTGCAGATCACATCCCCAGACTTTTCCTGGAAGTGCACTTTCTTCTCGTCTAGCTGTTGTTCTTCCACTTTTTTTCGCCTTTTCGACTGCTCGATACCCATGCAAGTCTGAGGTCTAATACTTGAGGGGACGTTGTCCAAACCATGGGCACAGGATGCAGCCTTGTCTCGCAGTTGGAAGCTTGTGCTGTGTTCCTGCTTCAATTCGCGCCAGAAACGCTCTAAATCAAGACTGTGCTTCGTCGTTGGGCTTGCTCCAGTTATTGTTGCTCTCCGCTGGACCAAGTTTCTTGGCTTCGTGGAATAAAGGCGCACGGATGACGGGGGATCGACCTCGCTATCGGAATCGCTACTGTCAGTGATCATTGTGTCTAGCATGTTTACAGTGTCCAGGATACTTGTCGGTTCTGGGCTGGGATCTTTAGGTGTATTTCTACAATAAAACATTTCGGTTTAAGAAAAAGCCCTTCAAAATTAAACGATGACCTTAAATATTATTTTTAATTAATGTCAAAGTAAAAATTAATGGAAAATTAAAGACTCTTTGATTTTAATCCTAAGGCTATCTCCATGATATAACCAATGATTAAAAACGAATGGATATGGGATCACTTATTGACATAATAGAAAATAGGTAGAAAACTATCATGTTCCTGTTTATAAATTCGTTAAGTAAGCACCTGGGCAGTGGCATTGTAAAATCAGGGATGGTGAGTAGCTCCGGTCTAGGTGATGGAAGGTTATGTTGCCATCGAGTTGTGTATGGTGTTTTCTTATTACTCGGCAATCTGTACGGTTTTATGTAGATTTGTCCATAAACTTTTGTGTGCCTCGGTCTACGTTTTAAAGTTAACAGGACTTCTGCTGGACTTTCACGAAACAACTCCAGTACATTTTTTCTTTCCCATCCGACAACTGTCTGGTAATTTACCTAATTAATAAAACATATATGTAAAATCAATGTTATATTAGAGACAGTACTTGTACACCATGTACTACAAACATGGAAACAACAAATATTTTTACTGTCATTACCTTGTTTACGCATAGATTGAACTGTTAATAAAAGATTGCATCAACAGGTTGCGCAAATTCACTACTAAGTTTTGCGGTACTTACCTGAACTATTTCATCGCCTTCTTCCATTTTCCCACACTGATGAGCTGCTGATCCAAATTTTATTTCTGCTACTTGATGTGCCCCGTGGAATGATGGTAGAATGTAAAATCCCTATAAACAGAGAATGCTGACAAGTTTAAAGAACACGATTGCATGGTTGTGGGAGTTCCATTGTATAAACGCAATATAGCGACAATGTACTTGTTATCTGGAAAGGAAGTTACAATCAATGACGTTCACATGTGTAGGTAAATTGGAGCTTGTCTCTCGTTATCTGGGCAGGATGTGGTGGATCGGTTATTTTCAAAAGAAAGGGAAATGACTAGATTATTCAGACTGGAATATTCTAATTATGGAAATGTTATTGCTAGCTTTAAAGTCAATGATACAACAATAAAACAAGGAAAAAATCATTTCCTGTTACTAATAGAAATAATTAACAGGAGATGACATTCTATTTAGATTAGCAAACTGTACAAAAAAACAATAGTATAAATGCAGCTGAATCGGAACAGTGCTTATTTTGTCAATGATAAACTTTTGTAACGAGTTTAACAGCATCTTGCAATGACCAGAAAAATCATTTACATATTTTCCTCAATTAATAACTATGTCCATCAGAAAAATTTAAAGTGCATACAATGATAAAATTAAAGAAGCCTTTATTACTAGATCGTCACCAGGCCTCTTCTTCAGTGTCGCCAAGTCCAGACTAGCAGGTTGCAAGATCATTGGATCGGCAATGTCTCGGATAATGTAGTCCGCTAACTTTGCTAGTTGTCCACAAGTGGTTCTAATTTCTTCGATGGGCTTATCAGCAAATCTGTCTCGCTGTGCACAGGTCGCCATCTCCAGGGACAATTTGAGTAGTTCTGCTTTCTTATCATTGTACTCTAATTGTCCACTAAATGGTGGTCGATCGAGCCATCGTACTAATGGCTTTACTGCTGTCACCACTGATGCTACGTCGGATAATGTTTGAGTTGTGACAGGTTTGGAATCGGTCTGACGACATAATTCATTGTGCAGACTATATGCTTGACAACTAAGCCGTAACGCCAAGAGTTGCAGGTTTTCTCGGTCAAGTTCATAGTGGAAATTACGTAGGTATTCAACAGCCTCAAGGATGATTTCTTGGTGGCCAAGTTTCAACACTCCAAGGTGCTCCAAATCTTCAGGCCTTAGGTTTAAAAGTTGCTGTCCATTCACACTGTGATTTGTGAAACTATGAACGTAAGGCAGCACCGAATTATCCAAGCCTATTAATGAAGAGAAGAAAATGTGATTGATTAATTAAAATAAAATAGCATTAAAAATAACTTATACAAATGCAAAAAGAATATTTCATGTTTTCAGCTAGAAACATACTAAATCAATAATGAAGTTAGTATTTAGTGATTTACAAAAAACAAAAACATCACATTTCTATAAACTTCTGCGACATCTCCGTAACTAAAACTACCAACGACCAATGGAGACAAATATAAGCATATAAAGGGACAGCGGAGAGCATGGGTTCAATTAAAAGTCTACGCTCTAATTACTTCTGTCAAATTAAAATCCATTATGCTGTTCTGCTAATTAGCCGTTGTGGCAAAATGTTTAAGTGGTACAGTTTATTTAACCAATGACAGAAATTTCCGAAGAAATGGAAATTAATTTTTAATTATAATTATTGAGTGAAATGCGAAAAATGAAAATGATTTGAAAATCAGTGGTCTCTGTGACCAGGAGCGACGACATTCGAGGGCGTATACAGGAAGTGGAAACATCCGATTCTCAAGGCGCGCGTGACATCGGTACTCTTGCATCCCAATCGCACGAAGGACATTCCTGCAAGAGGTTAACCCTTTTTTCGCACCTTTTAACCACTCGCACACTTGATCCGTCTTCCATTCGGCAACGTTAACATACGCCATGGTTTGCCGCCGCTCATCCTCGCCGCTCTGGAAACAACCATGGAGCAACTCCTACTGACTCCTACTGTCATCGCGGGACACTGGAACCTGGAACGGGGAACCATTGAGCATAAAGTACAAACATTAATAGATAGACTCATGAGCCCATTCAGCCAGAGATGAGTTGGGAGATTGCTCACTGGCAGGGTCGCGCGATCGCATCCTGTGCTGCCCTCTCGTACCATTCCAGAGAAAATTGCCATTTCGTCACATCTACATCGATATCATTGGTCCATTACCACTAGTAAAAGGATTCAAATACTGCCTCACAATTATAGAGCGATTTACACGCTGGCCTGAAGCAGTACCCATTGCGGACATTTCAGCGGAAACCATAGTTAACGCTTTCTATTCAACATGGATCGCAAGATTTGGAGCACCATCAGTTATCACTACAGATAAAGGATCTCAATTTGAATCACAATTATTTCAAGCACTAGCAAAACTAGTAGGTACAACATACAAAGAAAATTAATACAACAGCATATCATCCATGTGCCAATGACATGGTGGAAAGGTGACATCGTTCATTAAAAGCCGCCATTATGTGTCACGCCAACACTCAATGGATTGACACCTTTCCCTAGAGCTCGAAAATTCTCGGTAACATTAAATTGGAGAAGATAACTGTGAAACATACCGTAAGTTACCGGGAACATTGAGAATTTAAGAGAACGTTAATTTTGTTATTTATACTTTAGGTTTCTTCGTTTAAATAACTTTTTTTTTCCAATCAACTTCAAAGTTCAACCTAAAGAGTAATAATTACTATTAGAAAATATTGATTATAGGGTCGTATTTAGCTCCAGTCAAAAATATTCACGTATGTACAACTTCACGGAAAATTCCACGCCATTTATTTCAAACGAACTGATATTTCATTCTGCGACGAAGCGAATGGGAGGTTTTGATTGGCTATGAAGAACGTACAATGGAAATTCCTCTCTACGATGTTTCTCTATAGCTAATCGAAACCTCTCGTTCGCTCTGTTGAAAAATTAAAATTCTCATAATTTCTCGATAAAAAAGGCTTTGGAGAAATTACCAATAAATTACCGGGAATTTCTCTTCGTTTCTGACGTAACTTACTGGATTTAGAACTCTACCTTTCCCACAGTTCTTCTTGGACTGAGAACAAGTATCAAGCAGGATCTAAATACCTCTGCAGCAGAACTCGTTTATGGAACCTCATGTCGTCTCCCAGGTGAGTTCTTTATAGGTGTGACACCTACTAATCAACCCCTCATCTTTTTAGAGAAACTACGATCCATAATGAGAAAAATATGACCCGCTCCAATAGCACATCATACAAAAGGAACAACATTTGTTCACGAAACATTACATGCATGTTCACACGTATTTATCCATGTTCATGCAACCAGACGACCATTCGAAAATCCTTACGAGGGTCCATATGAAGTCCTAGAAAAAATTAACGACGGAGTCTTCAAACCAACCTAAAAGGAACTCCGACTACAGTCTCGATTGAAAGACTTAAACCGGCATTTACAGAAAAAGACGTTCCGGATACAACCGAACCGTTATCGAGCCACCAAAAAGACACTCCTCGCACATATTCAAGGACGCAAAAACATGTCCGGTTCGCGCCTTGAAATTGCGGCGCTCAAGGGGGAATATTGTGGCGTCAGCAGCTAGGACAACTGTACCCGTATACACAGTTCAGGCTAACGCCGCAAGCGGCGCTTCGATAGGGCAACGCGCAAACACACCTTAATTCGCCGTGTAGTTAGATATACACAACACAAGAAGAAGAGAAGTCTAACGACGAAGTACTGCAAAAGCGCGGTCTATTAAGTTTGTGACAAAAGAAAGTTTATATATGCCAAATAGGCCTAATAATAAATACTGTAATTATGTCGATACAGTGTTTTATTTATCATTAACAAAAATAAATAATAGGCGAACGAGTCGTATAGTGCTATGGCGCGTTCGGCCACATGCGTGTTAGCACTATTTTTACCCGACTCGCTCGTCTAGCATTTATTCCGTTAATGATGAATAAAACACTATGGACGTTATCACAATACTTATTATTAAACCCATTTGGCGTACATAAACTTTCTTTTATTACAGCTTTGATAGAGCACACATTTTTGGCGGTAATTCCGTCGTTAGACTTTTTACTTTTTTTACTACTTATATATCTACACGGCGGACTAAGGTGTATTTGCACGTTGTCCTATCGGAGCGCCGCTTGCGGCGTTTGCCTGAACCGTGTATGCGGTACCGTTGTCCTAGGTGCTGACGCCACGATATTCCCCCCTGTGCGCCGCAATTTCAGGGCGCGAACCGGACATGCTTTTGTGTCCTTGAATATGTGCGAGTGTCTTTTTGATGGCTCAATGACGGTTCGATTGTACCCGGAACGTCCTTTTCTGTGAATGCCGGTTTAAGTCTTTCAATCGAGACTGTAGTCGGAGTTCCTTTTATGTTTATTTTGAAGACTCTGTCGTTAATCCTTTCTAAGACTTCATATGGACCCTCGTACGGATTTTCGAGTGGTCGTCTGGTCGCATCAACACGGATAAATACGTGTGAACATGCGTATAATGTTTCGCGAACAAATGTTGTTCCTTTTGTGTGATGTGCTACTGGAGCGGGTCGTATTTTTCTCATTGTGGATCGTA